GAGAGAGAGAGAGAGAGAGAGAGAGAACTTCGTAGGTCCATCATGGCGGAACCAAGACGGAACAAAAATCTCGAGACCCACATCGATGGAACAGCAAATCTTGAGATTCTGCTGAAGATTTTATGTTCCATTGTGTCCCCTAAATGCTCGCGTTCAGTTCATCAGACAGTCTTAACAATAACACCCTTGTCTGTTGGCCGTTCATTCAATGCCATAACCACACATTTATATGCACATATATATACATATATATATAAATGTATATCATATATACTAACACAAAACACAAGCATATATAGACTATGAAAAAGTAACTGAGGATGTTGGAGCTATAAGGGGACAAAAGTGAAAGTCTGTAATGGATAAAAAAAAAAGCTCCAACCCAAGAGCATTAACCAAAAAACAAACTCTGCACACACACATATATACATGTATACACACACATATATATATATATATATATATATGTTAAATCTGCTTCATGTCTTCTGACAAACCCAATAAAGTGCGGGGTTCCAATTATCCTTTCTGATCCTTGGGATTTGTTCTCCAACAACATTATTTTCAATTTTGCCCCACATTTATTCTTTTCTTACACAATTTACCCTGTAAAATTCTTCAATTGGACCAACGTTGGCTTTTCAAGTTCTCTAGACTAAAAGTGTAAGGAAAAGGTAAATAAAAACACTATTCAACTCAATTCCTTGTTATGGAGAGGGGAATGTCTTTTGGGCCCATAATAAATTTGAAATTGAATTATTTGTAAGATATGAACACCGACAATTTTTCTGAATTATAAAGAGTTATTATTGTTCATGTGGAATTAATATGTATGAAAAAATTGAAATTGCTTTATGAGTTTTTGAAATAAATTTGTATAAAAAATCATTTTGAGGGAAATCAAATTTGAACCAATCAAATCACGTCTTTTCAAAAAGCCCACTTTTGACACACCAACTACTCTCCCCCCCCCTCGAATTTAAATTTGTTATTTTTCAAATTCATTTATGTATTTTTATATACACACACATATATACAAATATGTGGGCGTCGGCACGTTTTGTAACAAATCTTCAAAAAACCAATGAACACCACTAAAATCTCCATCTTATCTTAAACAAAAGCCACAATATACTGTAGGGTATGTGTCCTTAGCAAAGGGCAAATTTGTCTATGCATGTATATATGCACAAGCATATACATGCATTTGTACCAATAAGCAAAAACAATATATACACACGTACCTACCTTTATATATAATTCACATACACACATACATATATATACAAGATGATGACCAGTATAGGGCACCTCATTTTCACAATTATTTTCCTCACCATTTTTAATCAACTTTATTATGAAAGATATGTGAATATCCTATATGTTATTGGTCCGGTTAAGTTAATTTGGGTTAACCGGATTTTGTTCATAAAATATAGAAGAAAGATAAACCAAACAAAAGAGAGACTAAGGTCCAAATCCAAAAGCACAGATTGATTTTGGACAGTAATGACATGTGCATCAAAAAAGTCCCCACACACATGCAATCATATAATATAATCCCGATATTACATGCTTTTGATTACTCAAAAAGGTCGTATGCATTAGTTGTAATATACAAAAGATTAAACGCGATTAATTAAATGATATTTATATAAAAGGGAAAATAAAAGTTAATCATAGTTTTTCCCTACGAACATTGTAATTGTAATTAATTTCCCATATTTTTTTTATATTTTGATTCAATTAGTTTTGAGGAACCTTTGTTGTATTTCATATTTTGGGCCATATAATAATTAATATGCATAGCATTAGATGATGCCATATGGACTTATTATTATTGTACGTACAAATTTTAAAAACGTAGTTGTATCATTTATTATGTCACCATTAAATACGGTCCACATGCATCACGTTCACATCGAATCATCAATTCAATTTCATTTTTTTTAACTCTTGCAACAAAAATAAAAGTCCAACTAGCAAAGAAACGGTGTTAATTCAATACTATATGATGCATTATACATCCATATAATGGTTGTGTGTTGATGGATTCGAATAAAATTTAAAACTTAAAATAGAAAAATAATTATTATGGTTATTTAATGAGGAAAAAGAGGAACAAGTGATTGGTGGTTGAAGCTAGGCCCAAGAAAACTAAAACACAAGCATAATTGGCAATGACCAACTTGTCTCATGGACCCATTAAGCCCATCAATCATACAATATATATATATATATATATATATATATAATTAAGAAAATATGATCAAACAGTATATATATATATATATGTATATGTATTTTTAACAGTATATTATATATATACATTTGTATATATTTATTTATGTCACATAATATGAGAAGTGCCATAAGAAGTGTACCAAGGCGGTTGGTTAGTGTACTGCCTTTGGTTCACTTAAAACCAAAACCATGAATTATATTGTACAATAAAAACATTAAAAATATATAAAAGTAATGGTTACAATTATAAAAACCAAGATAAAATAATAATTAAAAATATCTTTTATTATCCATTTATTTAATGTCGTTGTGATCTATATTTGCATACCAAAGGAAAAAAGATTTCTTGCCTCGTGCGACCTTCTCCCGACTCCACCCCCCCCTCTCTCTCTCTCTCTAGGCTCAGACACAGAGACATGAAGCAGAGAAACGACACAGAGTTTTTGTAAGTGTCTCTGTCCTAAAACAACAGGAAGAACAAGAAAGAGGAACCCTCGACTTCTCTGCGTCTTCTTCCTCTTCAGAATCTCATAAGGAAAAAAAAGGAAGAACAAGAAAGAGGAACCAAAAAACTCTTGCAAAAAAGAAAATGAATAAACATGACGTTATGAAGCTTCAGGTAGTATATACATCTCTATATATATATATATATCACACATAGAAGCATACATGTGTGAATGTTGATCGTGATTTGGAATTGTATTGTGGATTTTTTTATTTTTTTGCTGCAGAAGTGTGTCCTGAGGGTGAATATACATTGTGATGGGTGCAAACATCAAGTGAAGAAGCTATTACATAGAATTGAAGGTGTGTGTGTACTTGTGCCAATCTTCTCGTTATCTTCCTTGCCCGTATATGAAACTCTTTCCTAGCTTTTGCCTCTTTAAGTTCTGTGGGGATTTTGTTCTTACACTAAAGATCAATGGTTCTTCACTTCCATAACCAGAGTAGACAAAGTTGTCAAATTTACGGTATGGCATGGCACATCATGATCCATGATCGAGGCTTTTGGGTCATTTTTCACATCAAAGTTCATTGCTTTCCGCAAGCGAAGAATCCCAAGTCTGAAACTTTCTAACTGGGTGTAGCCATTTTTGGGCATAAACAGAAATGTACTGCAACAGATTGAAAACCTTTGGAATCTGAATTATTCTGGTGAGTTTTTTGTTTTGTTTTACTGTGATGGATTTAGGTGTGTACTCAGTGGAAGCAGATGTGGATCAAGGAAGAGTGACGGTGACAGGGAACGTTGACCCGGCGGTTCTGATCAAGAAGCTCGGCAAGTCTGGCAAACATGCCGAGCTCTGCGGCGGCGGTGGCGGAGGAAAGGGTTTGCCAAATCTGAACGCTCAGTTCAGTCATCTCGATCTGGGTGGCAAAGTGATGAATATCAGCAAGGCCAAGGGTGGAAAAGACGATCTTCCGGGAAAGGGTAATGGTGGAGGAGGTCATCCAATGCAACAACTGGGTCCCCAGCAGATTCAGCAGATGATGATGATGAAGGGTGTTAATGGCCATGGCAATGGTGGTGGCAAAGACATGAAAATGCCCAAGGAGCAGAAATCTGTCAAGTTTGCTGACGATGATGAGTTCGACGACGACGACGATTTCGACGATGATGAAGATGAATTCGACGACGACGACGATGAGTTTGATGATGAGGATGAGGATGAGGATGAGGATGAAGATGAAGATGAAGATGAAGATGAAGATGAAGAGGTGGGACATGGTCATGGGGGTCATGGGAATGGTCATAATTTGCCGAAGCAGATGATGATGCATAACAAGATGGCTCCTAAAGGACATAATGACATCATGATGATGAAGAATGGGTTCAACAAAAGCGACGGCGGAGGTGGTGGCGGTGGTTTTGAAGTTCCGGCGAAAGCTATGGGGAAGAGCGAGGGCAAAAATGGAAAAGAAGACAAAAAAGGAGGAGAGAAGGGTGAGGAGGAAGCAAAAGAGAAGAAAGGGAGCGAGGGCAAAAATGGAAAAAACGAGTCCAAACATGGTGGCTTTCTAGGGTTTTTGAAGAAGGGCAAAAAGGGAAAAGGCGATGACAAGAAAGGAGCCAAGAAGGCTGGCGGTGGGGGTCATAAGGTAAATTCAGATGGTGACGATGAATTTCATGATTTCGGTAATGGGTCTAAAAAAGGTGGGCTCAAAATGGGCCATGACGGTGGAGCCCATGATATCGACGAGCTCATGAAGCAAGTCAAGGTAGGCAACAAAGGCAATCGCACCACCACCAACGGCTTTGTAGGCCCAATGGGCCCGAACCCAATAGGCCCATTGGGTCCAAATGGTCATCCTCCGGCGGTTCACGGCTTTCCGATGAACCCTCCGCCGCCGACGAGGTATCATCCAACGAACCAGCAGCAGCAACAGTATATACAAATGATGATGAACCAGCAATATGGCCCGGCTCACGGCGGTTATGGCGGCGGCCATATGTAC